CAGACCCAGAAACCAAGCACACAAAGGGTACCAATGCATTTTCCCCCGCAGTTGATAAGGAATTAACCCTGTCCTCTTGTGAATAGCATTAAAAGAGACACCTGAATCAGTATTCTTGCTTACTTAAAAGTCTTTCTTATCACAGGTGCTCACCAGTGCCAGACTCTATTAAAACATCAGTATCACATATAGCTGACAAAGCAGATAAAAAGCACAGCACAGTCTCCACCCCTCTTATTGCATACTCTGCAAAAAAAGTCAACAGACAAAGCCTTGAATACTCTGGTTTTCCTAATCTTTTCTATATTTTATTCCCTGCCCTAGAAGATTAAGCTGTGGGTTCTGTGAATAAACCTACAAATTATTCCCTGCAAAAATTCCCTGTTCTTCAAGCCAGCACAGAAGTTCCTCAGCTCTGCTACAGTGCTCCCAAAACCTAACACAGGGAGTAAGTAGCCTGTTAATTCCCACTGGCATGTATGTGTCTCCATGGGGCTCCCTGTTGCTCCACATGACAGGGACTAAGCTCTGAAAGGAGAGGAAGAAAATCAACAAAAAGCCAGATCACCCAGGATTTAAAACATGTAAAACCTTATCCTGATTCAGAGTAACTACAAATTCCCCAGTTGCTGCTCAGAAGAAGCACAAAATGGAAGTCCATTATCACAAAGCATGCTCCAAGCATCCAAACATCCACTTCTGCTTCAGAAAGACCCACCACCCCAACAGAGCAGAAAAGCAGAGCCCAAGTATAAACTGGGGTAAAGAGTTGTAAAGGCAGGATGGGCACTGGTGCTTTCCCTCTCGGTAGAGCAATTTAACAGAAGAAAGGACAGTTATAGCCCCAGAAGTTCACAAGAAATGATGAAGCCACTCAGAGCCCAGAGGTGTCTAAGACAGGCACTGTTTCATACCATTCAGATCCTGCAGAATCATAGTATCCTCTTCTTTTGCTGCAGCTATCCAAGAGGTCACTTCATCAATAGCTTTCTTCAGGACATCCCTGTTTGCATTATTAGCACTGGATGAGGGGAAAGAGGCAATGTGAGAAATGCTCTTTACAGATGAAGCCCTGTGCCTTGCTGTAGGAATGCAAAAGCTTCATTTCCCAACATGCACCCAATTCTCCACATAACATCCTGCGATCTCAATCTTCCTTCAGACACCACAGCATGCTGGAACAGCTGGCAGCGAGGTGTTCAAACCAGCAGGTTTCAGTATTTCTACAAAAAGTGATCTGAGTGAAGCTGAGCCATGAACTCAGTACTGAGGAGACACGTCTCTGAGAAGTGCTCACCTGCAGACTTTCCAGGTACCTGCTAAGAGGTGCTGCCTAAGGATCTTCTCCTGTACCTCATTCATGTATGGGATTCCATCTTTGAGAAACTGAGGGGAGACGAAATGCCAGCTTGGTTACATTCCCCTGGATTTTTTTACAGCACATTAGAGAATTGGCAGGTTAGTCAGGACAAACAAACTGTAAGCAATACAACAGGTATGGAGGAAAGAAAAGGATTATCTGTCAACTGTAATCATTTTTTTTGCTCTAATTTTACCTTTCCTTTAATAAGATGCTTCCAAGAGTCAAGAAGTCAGACACCTCCTTGCAAAACAGTACTCTTACAGGATGACAAAGTCTCTATTTTACGGGAAAAGTGGCAATATATAGGATGCTGGTAAACAGATACTTCTGCACCGTCATGGATAGTAAAGACACCCCCAGTGTTTAGTAAATCCTTAGCTCACCAGAGATAGGTTTCTGGGGTTTTTTTGAGGAAGGCTGCCTGTCTGAGACTGCTGAGGATGTGGTTATTGTCTTTACATTAGTTCAGCACTCATTACCCCTGTTCATAATCAACTGCATGATGCATCCATACTTTAGGAAGCTTCTATTTATCCCAGAAAGATAATATTTAAGGATACTAATCTGATTTCTTCTGCAGTTGCACAGATTTCCTCTGTTCTGCATTTCTAGCAGATTACATACCTTGTTGTAGTCAAAGCCATAATGAGACAGGAACTGAATACTAGATGCAGAGAGGGTAAATTCGACATCCCTTATTCCCAGTGTGGAGGGAAAGAGAAAAAAGTTGTATGAATGCACCACATACCTAAAATGAAAAGAAAAATATCTCTAGAAGATAATTACAAGACATAACTCCACCCAAAGGGAATTATGGAAAAAATCTCTACTGCACTATCCTCATTGTAACATAAAACTGCTTTTTTACTTACTTGTTTGAATTTTCTGCTGAGAATATTGCCAGCCCTAAAAGAAAGAAACCTCTATTGAGATGGCAACGTTTAGCTGTACGTCTACAGATAGCATGCAAATTAGATAGGGGATGTGGGGAACCCTTCAAGAAATACATGTTTTCCATTCACGAATGTCACTGTGCCAATCCTTGCAGCAACTGCCAGGCCACTCCCTGGATTCCTGAGAGCTGAAGGGGACAACCTTTCACTGCTATGTGGGAAATGGAGTCAAATCTGAATTAAATAACAGACTGAGCAATGGGCAAGTGGTGAGATGGTGATGAGTCTCTGACTGTACATACACAGATGAGTATGCAGATTCAACTATACCACAGTAAGGTCTGGAACAAGCTAGGGACCACAGAGGACTGAAGAAGCATGGGTTTTACTTCTCAGGTTCTTTTTTCTTCTGCTAATCCCTAAAAGGCATATTAAGATCTTACATACCCCAAGACTTTGAACAATATTTCAAACTGTTTTCGAGCCAGCTTGACTCCTTTCTTAACTGTCAATAGCCCTCCTCCATAGGCCCTTTCTCATGCTGATTTGTTATTTTAGGAATAACAAAAATAGCAGCCTTCATTATCCTCAGAGTCCCCTTACTCATAACGCACTGTATCAAATGAGACAGCTTTGAACAGGAACTGCCGTCATATGCTTCTTGCTCACATCCTCTGATTTAAAAGCCTTGTATTTTTAACTGTGACCTTTAAATATGGTCAACTTTAGACAGTAAAAACTATATAGCCCACCTGACTTTATATGATTTATTAAAAAGCTGAGGGAAAAAAAACCCCAACAAGCAAATGTCTCTCGAATGAGTGAATTACGGCCAGAGTCACCTGCATGACGACCTGTTAGCAAAAGGCCAGGTACCTGTACGACATCGGGAGATTACTTTCCATGTCAGAGCAGCACTTACCAAGCTGAGCGAGAGTGAAGCGCTGAACACTCTGCCTGGCCTTCACATACCGCTCCGCAGGGGAGTCAAACAGGCTAGAACAAAACCAGAATTGGGGAAAGGAGAGCGGACACGTGAAGGGTTGCTATACACAGGTTGTTCTCACAGGGCTAGAGCAATAAGTCTCTCTCACACTTCAAGTCCAACACCTTTACCTGGGCTCGTTGTTTTGTAGAGAATGCAAACCAGTAAACTCCATATCAAGGGCTGTTGAGGTGGAAAGAACACAAAAGAATATGAAATTTGAGGCATGCGCTTCACCAGCACCAGGACGGCGGCTCTCAAACGCTTCTTTTCACCGTAATCTTTGTCAAACCACAGGAAGCAGGCTCGTGAGCAGCGGGGCTTACACCTCCAGCCGCCTCCTTCCTGAGGCAGGGACACCTCCCCCACGCCCCTCAGAGGGGCCTGCCTCACCCTGTGCAGTGTTCGTGCCCCACCCGAACCCTTAACACCCCCGGCCCCAGCACGCCGAGCCGAGGCCAGCACCGCAGCCGGGGTTCCCTTTCCAGTCTCTCCAGCCTGTTTGAATCCCCGCGCCTCAGCGCTCGCTGTTCTGGGCGCAGCAGCGCCATTATCGGCTGCAGTACCCCTCAGTGCCCGGGACCCTACGTCGGCCAGGGCCCGAGGGCAGCACTGGGGCCGGACGAGACGCCCCGGACGCTCACCCACGAAGGCGGCGCGGAGGATGAGGCGCCTGAGGCGCGGCAGGTGCCGGGCAAAGCCCTCCGCGCCCACCTCCATCGCCGCCCTCCCGAGGCCCGGCCCGGCCCGGCGCGCCTGCGTGCCCGGCGCTGCCCCGCGGGGCGGGCCCGATCCGCAGTAAGGGATGGGAAAGGCAGCGCCGCGGGAGCTTCGAGCGCGACCCGAGCGGCGGTAACAAAGGACGGGGAGGTTTAGGCTGGAAACTGGAGAGGCTGAGAAGGCACCCGCCACAGCCCGCTCTCACGGGGAGCGCAGGGGCAGCTCCTACTGCGCGTCTGCCGGAAATGCAGGTCGCACAGAGGCCGTCACTATCCGAGAGTTGTTATTATTATGAACCAACAACTAAGTAAAAATCCAGTAAAACAGTGGGGTTTTTTTTCACTATGTCAGTCGAACACTGAGGATTTCGTACAGATGCCAGAAGTGGGCCGAGCTCACCCGCACGCTAAAGCCCGGCACACACCCTTGGTGTTCCCTTCTCCTGCCCCAAACACGAGTACAGCACCGGGACACAGGTACAGGAGGTGCACTGACCAGGCTGGCCGCCCTGAACTTGCCCGTCAGAGGGCTTCCAACACACTTTACTGTGGGGATGTCACAGCCTGGTCGCACTCTGCCGAGCCATCAGGCAGAAACGCTGACAGCACCAGCCTGTGCCAAGCAGCAGGCAGACACACGAGGGGAGAATGGAGCTTCTTATTCCTTACAGCACGCATTTGTACAGCTTCCCTCCTCGACCCATCCGTGTGGTTAAGCAGTTAGAATCTCAGGATTGCAAGTGCAAAGATGAGTTGGGGGAGTTCAGTCCTTTCTCCAAGATTTGTGCATTATTTTATCACAGTTGTATACATTCACAAGTAATGACTACACTTTGGTAGGTTAGACTGGCAGTGTGAAGGGATCAAATATCAAAGCACTCCCAGAGTTCAGGCTGGAATAAACAAAATCAAATATTAAAAATAAAATATATTTTTAAAACGTTGAATTTTTAATAAATTCTGTCAAGCTGAACTATGGTAAATTTATTCTATATTAAAGATGTTGATCATTTTAGAATAAAGAATATGATGCACTTCTATCCATTTGAAAATATTTTATTATAGGAGGACACATTCCAACTTTTTCCAGCTCTGGAACTTCCCTCTGCCAGTACACAAACCCGAAGAAGTGATCCTTATTCCTTGAAAAGACGTCCCAACAGTCTTCATTTTACTGGTAGATTCTTCGTGGCTCATGTAGAATGACACCACCTTCTTCCATAGCTTTCTCAAATTCCTGAATCTTGTTTAAAAGATAGACACAAATAAATAAAAATAAAAAATAAAATAAAAAATAATAATAATAAAAAAAAAGCCAGCAGCACTTTTATATCAGTGAGGACATGTTATATGGAGGGGTAGAGGTTAACAGCCTCATGGAAGCATAATACCAGGAACTGCAGCTTGTCAAAGCTGCCCTTCTGAGTGTTGAAAGGAGGGACTGTCAAGCCACATAAGAAAATTAATGGTGAAGAGAAGTAAAATTAATGCCCAAAAAGGAAAAAAGGGCCAAAGGAATAAGGAGATGGGTACTTGCCGAGTCACAATGGTGTTCCCAGGGGATAATGGCTTTAAAGTTCACAAAGTTGATTCCTGCTTCCAAACAGCGCTGTGCCATTACGCGGCCAAGGTTTTTGCATGCGGCTACTCCCTTGGGACTGTACAAGTGTCTCTTTATGGCCCACTCTCGGGTAGAGGCAGATACCACAACATCCCCGTTGGAGCGCTCGACAAAGGCTTCTACGTAATGCTGTGTCCGCTCAAGCCGTAATCTGAGTGCAAGAAAGAAGTAACAGAGGATTGTAATGTCTTTCCCAGAGAACATAGTCAAATGCTTAAATTACTCCCTTTATGAAATAAAATTGAATGTATTATTGTATTAATATTTTTGCTTATTAAGACATAAAATAGGACTCATGTTGGGAGGAAAGGGTTAAAAGCAGAAGAATGGTGAGGAGGATTTGCTTAAGTGACCTTGCAGCTGGGAATGCCAAAGCCTGGAGAATAATATTGCTATGGATTATGACTACTGCTTATCTTCTGTTTTGAGAAGTAGAATCTCTGTGTACAAATAGCATAGGTATTTCAAGAGCCTTGAAGCCTCTCTCATGGAAATGCTTGAGCTCTCTGTTTTGACAGACAGAAGATCAAAGCTCAGAGATCATTAAAAGCACAGGGGACACCACAGCATGATGGTAAATCTAAATGCCCTTAATAAATGGGTGCCAACAGCAGGCTCACCACCTGCACAGGCTAGGTCTGCATGTTTCCTCCACCTGGGTGTTGCTTTGAGATCCTCCAGTTAGCAAGGCAATGCAATAGGTGTACTCTTTGCATTTCAGCCACAGTTCTGTGGTTGTTCCAGCTGCCTGCCTGTGTCAACTCACACAACTCCTATTACTAGCTCAGAAGACCGAAATTACAAGAGCAACTTTTCATCAGTTACTCAGGGTCACAGTCCTACCTTGCCTCAGACCAGCACCCACTCCAAGCACTGTACACCTGCACAGTGTGGAACAGATATATATGAGGGGAACTGCTCCAACAGAAATGGAACTTTAGGGTCACTATGCAGTCCCTTAAAAGCTTGAGCTGACACAGCAAGTAACAACTTGTTGAGATATACAAGTGGTCAGAAAGTACCTCATCACCTCCACACAAACCAGTAGAATATTTATTAGGAGCAATTATTTCTTATTGCACTGAGACAGTGTCAGCTTTCCTACTATGAACAAACTGGATGGGGCTCTCCCCAGAAGAAGAAAATAAGGACTTTGAAATGCCAGCTCAAAATAAACTTATTTCCCAGAGAACACATTAAATTAAAAAATTAAAACAAAACCCACAAACATAAAACAACTCCAAACAGACTATTATGGTGCCTCAAATAAAACCATGAAGCATGGTAAGCACAGGAGTGAGAGAATCCCGAGTTAAAAAGCTGTTGCTTAGGCAACATTACTGTTGCCTTAACAATAGATGGAAAAAATTTGACCACATATGCTTTCATGTGCTACTAGTCTGCTCTTCTCTGAACACAGATGCCTGCTGTTTGAGAAACACTAAAGTGCTAACTGATTCAGGAACCCAAAATTCACATTGTGTATGCGGGTTTCTGGGTTTTTTTTTTGTTGTTTTGTTTCTTCTTTTGCAGTCTTCATTTCAGGTAGTAACTGCCTGACTCACCTGTGCCAGAACTCACGTTTTGGCCACGTTGTCTTCCAGCCACGCTCCTTCCTAGCCAGGGCCATCTGCTCCAAGTTGCGAGGATTTCTGTTAGTGAAGTTTGGGGCAACAACCTCATTTTCACTTGTGTCCACTTCAGTCTCAGTTTTGAGACTGGCTGTAGTTGATGCAAAACGAAGACCTTGGCGGGGAAACCAGATTAAAAAAACACCGAAGTTTAAAAAAAACACGTAGTGCAGACAGTAGAATAGATATAGTACAGAATGACACAGCTTATAGAAGTCAGCAGGGCAAAATGATCTTGCTTTTATGTTTTAAACACTTAACAGATGAATGACAAGACATCAACCTGCTTCCCTAGTTTATGAGCTGAACTGCAAGTACATTAGCAGTTAGAAACTTACACGTTTCTAAGCTCGTATATAAAATATAAACTCACGTGTGACTAGGAGATCCCTAGGACCGAAGCTTTACAAAACACTGAAAGCGAAATACACACGGAACGAGAGACAGCGCTACCAAATAACAAGGTATAAACCCTTCATCCTTGGCACAGAAGCACCGCCAAGACACCCGGCCGCCGGATGGCCCCGGGAGCACGGGGGCCGCGGAGCCGCCGCCGGGAGAGGCGGGCAGGGCGAGCCCTGGGCTT